TATCTGTTTCTCCACCTCTCATCCCACTTCCTCTCCTCTCATAATTTTCACTTGCTCTACTTCCCCCATCTCTCTTCCTCTTAATCTCCCTTTGTTCTCCAGTCTATTTCTTTTCTCTCCCTCTCTTCCCCCCTCTCTTGCCAAAGAGCATGTGCCTTCCCTAGAGAGAGACAGAGAGACAGACAGACAGAGCAGGAGAGAGAAAAAGCTACCCTCCCATGGAGCATGGTCACACCACATTGGGATTTGGGGCATGCATACACAGTGTTCATGATGGTGATATAGTGAAGGAAGGGGCTTGGGGTGACTGAGGAGAAACAGAGGTCTAACATTTCCAGGATGCAGAGCAGAAAGTGCATGAGCGTTTGGAGTAGGGAGTCAGAGGTCATGCGACTATGAAGAGGTTTCCTATCATGGTCGTAGCATAGACAAACAGGAACACCAGAAACAAGAAAATCTGGAGCTCTGGAGTCTGTGAGAGTCCCAGCAAGACAAAATCTGATACCCATGTGAAGATCACTGGTTACATAGCATCTTCTTCGTATACCTAAAGAAAATAAACTACAGGGACCAGCAGTTAGCGTAATGGCTATGTTACTGGACTCCCATGTAGTCGACCACGGTTCGTATCCCGGACCCACTGGCTTAAAACTCATGCCGGGCACGTGTGCGTGGGTGCCCAGGATCCCAAGAGGAGAATGGAGAAGGGATTGTGGCATGGCCATCCCCCCTGGAGAGTGATTTCTCACTTTCTGTCTCTCTGCCTCTCTTTGTCTGTCTGGCAAGCACACACGCCCTATAGCAAAAACCTCTAAAAAAAAAAAGAAAGAAAGAAAGAAAAGAAAACAAACTACAGATACAGACAGACACCCAGCATATTCCTCAAATCACTAGGGCTGGGATGCAAACCACATGGTCTGCAATGCGGGATTCAGTTTCCTTAACTACAGTCCATGAGGCCATCCCTCTGTTGTCTACTTATATTTCTCTTCTTTCAACATCTTTCTCTGCCTTCCACCCTTTGATTCAGTGACATCATCTAAAATTCCTGTTCCATTCAGAACTTTGAGTCTCCTTCATATAATATCCATCACCTATTTCTTTTCTTTTTTCCTTTCCTTTCTCTCTCTCTCTCTCTTTCTCTCTCTTTTAAGAGCTTTTTGCCGTAGGGCGTGTGCACTTGCCAGAGACAGAGGCGGTGAGGGAAAGTGAGAAATCACCCCTGGGTGGAGGGAGGACATGATGGCCATGCCACAATCCCTTCTCCATTCTCCTTCCAGGATCTTGGGCATGCACACACACATGCCAGCATGATTTTTCAAGTCCCTGGGTTCAGGACTCAAACTGTAGTCAGCCATATGGGAGTCCATCAACGTAACCATCATCTGCTGGTCCCCATCATCTATTTCTTAATCCAGTGATTCTCCCTCCCCCTTCTCCTTGTCTCAGCAGACAAACCACATATGTCTCACTCAGTAAGGGTGAGGCCATGGGAGCAGCTGTCTCAGGCATCCAGCTGTGTCCAGTGTCTTTCTTACACTGACCTGCATGCTCGGTAGCTATTCAACCACCCAGCAGCCAATACCACATATGTTTTGAGTATGGAGTATCATCAACAATGGATACTGCAGGTCACAAAAAAAAAAAGAAATTGTGAGATTGAGATCCAGGTCTCTGGGATTATCGTTAAATTGTGGAGGAAAAATATAGATACATGAAAAGTCCATTAATATAATGATGTGTGAAGTGTGGTATGAAAATTGATTGGTACAAAAACTTATCAGAGATTGGAAGAAAAGAGGATGTTTTTAGATTAAGAGACTTCACAGAAAAGAGTAATCACCATTGTTTTTAGATTAAGAGGCTTCTCCGAAAAGAGTAATCACCACTGATTATTCATGCACAGTTACAGAAGCTGTATGTGTCATTCTGTGTGAGTCTTCAGAAAATTCTATGAATAAACATTTGTATTCCTCTTTTACAGGCATAGAAACTGAAGGCCAGAGATATGGTCAAGTCTCAAGGAATCAGGGTACCTGAAGCTTGACTCTACATCTGTCTGATTCCAAGTACCTTCCAACCACTATAGGAATCCTCGAAAGGCAGGCTGTATATACTTCTGAATTGCTTCGAGATGTGTCATAACTATTCGTTCCAGAATCCACTTGTAGACTCCCCAAAGCCAAGGCAGCAGCTGGCATAATGGTCTGCACAAGATACCCAGCACGTGGACCTGGAAACCTGGTCCTGAGATCCTGAGCGCTGAAAGGGCACACGGTAACTTCATGCATCTATGTCTGAGGTTTGTTTTCTTTAGATGTATGGAGAAGATACCATGGAACCGGGGAACGTCACGTGGGTATCAGATTTTGTCTTCTTGGGACTCTCACAGACTCCAGAGCTCCAGATTTCCCTGTTTCTGGTGTTCCTGTTTGTCTATACCACAGCCGTCATAGGAAACCTCCTCATCATAGTCACAGTGATCTCTGACTCCCGGCTCCACACACCCATGTTCTTTCTGCTCCGAAACCTGGCTTTGTTAGACCTCTGTTTCTCCTCAGTCACTGCCCCAAAGATGCTGGTGGACTTTCTCTCTGAGAAGAAGACCATCTCCTACCAGGGCTGCATGACCCAGATCTTCTTCTTTCACTTTCTCGGAGATGCCATGATCTTCCTTCTCTCAGTGATGGCCTATGATCGCCTTGTAGCCATCTCCCGGCCTCTTCACTATGTCACCATCATGAACACTCAGCTCTGTATGGGACTGGTGGTGACCGCTTGGATGGTAGGCTTTGTCCATTCCATTTCCCAGCTGGCTCTGATGCTCCCGCTACCTTTCTGTGGCCCCAATGTCCTGGACAACTTCTACTGTGACGTTCCACAAGTGCTCAGGCTTGCCTGCACTGACACCTCCCTCTTGGAGTTCCTCATGATCTCCAACAGCGGGATGCTGGATATCATCTGGTTCCTCCTCCTCCTGATCTCCTATGTGATCATCCTGGTGATGCTGAGATCCCACTCAGAGGAGGCGAGGAGGAAGGCAGCTTCCACCTGCACCACCCACATCATCGTGGTCTCCATGATCTTCATTCCAAGCATTTACCTCTATGCTCGACCCTTTACCCCTTTCTCCATGGACAAGGCCGTGTCCATCAGCCACACGGTCATGACCCCCATGCTCAACCCCATGATCTACACCCTGAGGAACCAGGAGATGCAGGCAGCAGTGAAGAGATTAGGAAGGTGCCGGCTGATCTGTAAGAAAGAGTCACAATGGCAGGTCACTTCTGTTTGGCTTTGTGTTCCCTGTAAATTAGGGCAAGAATTATAATATTTACTCTCTTAGTAGTTTGTGGATATGGTGTGAGAGTTGTCTTAGAAGTGAACAAGCTTTGAAACTAAGTAAGATACTCATTTTTTTTAGGAATAAAGAAAAAATCCTTATTTTTGTTTAAAATGACTGTTCAAACATTCCTATGACAATAGCATGACCCCTGGAAATCTGCACCATCCTTTAGCCCTTCCTACGTTTCCTTTTATAATGACAGCATTTCTCCTGTAGGAGCATTTCTATTTTCTGTGTTCTGCTATGAATCTGGGTTGTTTGAAAG